ATACAAATTTTATTCAAAACAACCATCTTTTGCATGTACTTAATCAATGAATTAATTTACTGCAGATACTCTAAAAATCCTTATAAATGGAAAAGAAATAACAATACTTTTAAAAATAAAATAGTTTGTAATAAGCGAGATTCCGTTCATTGGGAGAATATATTGTATTTACTTCTCACTCCAAGCTTCGATTTAGTAGATAATTTCACTTACCGTACTTAGTACATTGTGAGAGCATCGATAGTTCGTTTAATATTCCCTGGCGGATTATCCATTGGCCATTGGCCAGGCTGTCGCTTGTTGCGGTCAGTGCGGGTGCTGGGGCATTACAAGCAGGGGCATAAATCGGCCCCAGGTGCTTGGGTGCGCATTTCCCACGGATTAGCGCATAAATAAAGAAGGTCAGAGCTCTGTTTGGGGGACAGCTAGCCAGTTAACTAGATATTTCAAATGCGCTGTGGCAGGGGTCGCCGTCTCCTGCCGATGGATCGCCATAGGCCGGTCAACTGTACCGTAGCCTCTCTTGGAATCGCATCACATCGCATCGCTTTCTTTTTAGGGCAAGAGCCAAATTGCTTTATTAGCCGCGGCACCCCACATATAAAGCGTAACAACTTCATTTGAGGCTGCCAGGGAGCGCCTAAGGTGGTCCTGCGCAGCATTTCCTTTAGCTCATTAACACGTTGGCTGCGCCGATCCTTGGGCTGGGGATCGACTGGAGCTGGACTGGCGTTGATGGAACCCACACGCAGCGGTTCTCACGCTGCAAGACAAAAAGCATTGTGTGCGCAATTTAAGATTAGCAACAGTTAGCACAGACAAAGGAATGGCCACGGCATGGATCATAATGATAATGTTTATAATAACAACGGTCGGTCGGTCCGCCCGATAGGTCGTCTGGTCGGCCGGCCGATCGGTCGGTCAGCAAGGACCACCAAACGGCGCTGATAAGACGCCGACCCGCAGTCCGAGAACTGCGTGCGCAAGATCTGGCGAGGAGATAGCGAGGGGAGCTCCAGCTGGTGGCTCCATCGATAATCGCGCATTAAGCGTGCGTAAGTCACGTCACGGCAAGGCCCCGAGCAAAAGCCAGACGACCGCAGGGCACAGAAGATGCAACCAAAAAATGAAACAGCGAAAAGAGAGAGAGAGAGACCTTGCCCTGGGTGCGATCGCGATAAGCGCGACTTTTGCCTCGGTACGTGCTAAACCCTTGGCTGCGATCATTTTAATTATACAGTACTCTGGGCCAACTGCACCACGGAGCAGCAGCGAGTTCACTGAGACACCGAACCACCGTCGCCACCGCCACTCCCTGCCCCATTCACATTACGGGACCGGGGTCAAGCATCGCAAATTTTGGGCTTGGTCAATATTTGTTTAAGCCGGGTCCATAAATACTTAATTTGTTCAACGGTTTTTTTTTTTTTTTTTTTTTTTTTTTTAATATTTTCCCTTATGAAGCCATTGAGACGACAATTGGACCGCAATTACCTTAAAGTCACTTACGCAAATACAGTTGAGACTGATGAACCAGCGCTGTCAGATGTCTGCAAGTCGATGCAAGTGCTGTATGGGCACTACAAATGGATAACAAATTAGTATATGTATAGTATATACCTCAGGTTTAACAAGGAATTAAGAGAAAGCTTTCCAAAAAGGGCGATCACGAGATGTCTGATAAAATGATAGTGAAAGTGCTCTATGGGGAATGATAAATAAATATCATATATATTCCATTCATTGATTTCATAAGGAATTGAAGTGGACTGTTGCGGTATGTTTGATGATGGTGATGTAAATGCTATTTGAGTACTAAAATTCAGTATCTCTATCTCTATCTATTAAACAACTCCTCAAATTTAGGAAAGTATGTACAGAAAGATTTCCAATATCTTCTCTTATGTGTGGAGAGAATTTCTGCATGTTTATGGAAGTTTTGTTTGGATATTAATATTTCATTCATGCAAATGGATATCAAAGTAAGATATATTTAATTCCTGATTAAAATATTACATGACTAATAAGAAGTAAATCTCAAATTATACGATTATATATTCGCAGGATAACTGCAAGCATATCCAAGTGCTATGAGTACTACAAATAAATTCCAAATTAAATTATTAAATATTTATTAAGTTCCACAAGTTTAAGAAAGGGTACAAAAAACAGTTTTTCCAATTTCTTCGTTGGCTTTGAAAAGTGTATGAGCGTCAGTCGAAGTAAGGCGAGCACCCTATGGAGCTGTCCAGCTTCCACTGCGTTCCACAAATGTTTTGGGCTTCACTTAAAAGAGAGACAGGCCACAGGTTGCTCAGTCCTCAGAGCCGTGCTCGGAGCTACGTTGGGAGACGGGCGCCGAGGCGTCCACCTCGAGGTAGTCGTGCACAAGCTGGCATATGTTCTCGGAGGCCTCGTTGAAGTTGCCCTCCTCGAGGCCCTCGCCCACGTAGTGGTAGACGAAGGCTCGTCGCTGGTAGAGCTTGTCGAACTTGTTGACCAGGCGGCACCAGGCAATCCGGATGTTCGTGTTGTTCGAGATGGCGACACAGGCACGACTCGTGGGCGCCAGGTCTCCGTGGGGCACGTAGACGGGGGGCATGTTGCTGACGCCGATCTTGAAGCCGGTGGGCGACCAGTCCACGAACCGGAAGGACTTCGAGCGCTTGATGCCTTCCAGCGCCGAGTTGATCTCGTTGGGCGCCACGTCGCCGCGGTAGAGCAGCACGCAGGCCATGTACTTGCCATTGATGGGGTTGCAGCGCACCATCTGGTTGCTCATTTGGAAGCACTGCCCAGTCAGCTGGGCCGTGCTCATGTTCACGAACTGCGAGTGGGTGATGGGCACCAGCGGGGCGTAGTTGATCAGGGGATAGTGAATGCGCGGATACGGCACCAGGTTCGTCTGCAGCTCCTGGAAGCTCACCGACTGACCCGAGAATCGCTGCGTCGCCGTGAACGCAGCCACCACTTGGCCAATGATGCGGTTTAGGTTGGTGTATGTGGGCGCGGGCACATTCAGGGTACTTGCGCAGATGTCGTACAGTGCCTCGTTGTCCACGATGAAGGACACGTCCGCACAGTCCATGGAGAAGTGGGCGGCCAGCAGCGCGTTGTACGGCTCCACAATGACCGGGGAGATGCTGCAAGGCGTAGGAGGGGCGTCTGAAGTGCACACCGAACATAGCTCAGCTACTTACGAAGGCGATGGATACACTAGGAACTCGACGATGGTCATTTTCCTGCCATAGTCCTGGGTCAGTTGCTCCATTATGCGCGTGCCCAGGCCGGAGCCTGTGCCGCCGCCAATGGCGCGAAAGACCAGGAAGCCGCGCAGGCTCCGGCAGCGCTCGGCGACGCGCCGTATGGCATTCATGGCTCGATCGAGCAGCTCGCTGGCCATCAAATTGTAGCCGCGTGCGAAGTTGCTGCCCGCGTCGTCCTTCCCCGTGATCAGCGTGTCCGGATGAAACAGATTCCGATAGGCGCCCGTCCGTATCTCATCTGAAGCGAAAGTCAAGCAACAAGTAAGAAAACTCTATTGTTGCATACATTTAATAAAACCTTACACTCTGATTTACCATTTTCAATGGGTTCAGGGTATATGAGTATGGGAGGGGGAAGTCCTAGTCCCTAAGAGCACTATTGAATAGAAGAAACTGCTGTCTAGCCATCTAATAATTATAAATATCAAAGTACATAGCTAAAGAGCATATCATCATTTAGCCTTATCAAGCGTACTTATTCTTGAGCAGTGTAAGGCGAGGTAATGCGATTTAACTATGCGGTTTATTTTTCTATGTATCTATTCGAATACCTGTCTCTCTGTTTGTCTCCTGTATATCTCACAGTCTGTCCGCCAAAGAGAAACAGGGGATGCAAAGGAACTACATAAGATCACTTAAGTTGTCTATAAGTATGCAGTAGTACTAATTTGGTATTTATATTTGAGAGTAAGCTCCACTGCAACAAGCCCTACCTGGCGCCGGACTCAACATTTGAGAGCGACCCAGAGTTTGAGTGAAAGTCGCCCTATATAATAAACGGCAGCAGCTGCAGCATTTCTTCAGTGGTCCAGGTCCGGTGGGGTCAGTCGTACGGCGCAGGAAAGTGAAGTGTGTGATCGTTCTGCTAAGCATTAAAGACGTAGGCAAAATACGTAAGGTAACTCAGTAAGGTGACTACGTAAGGGAAATACGTAAAGGAAATATTAGAGGAAATACTTTGAGGACATACATAAAGTAAGCACTTATAGAAAGTAATGTAGTACGCCCAAGAGATTAAGCTAAATATCTTTATGCTTCTTATGATGTGGTGAAATAGTTTAAAATCCTCAGCTTTTTATGTATCTTACAGCTCTCGATTTAAAATGTCTCTACACTACTACAGATACGGATAGCCAGACGGACATTGAACAAGAATCCAGTAGACTCGCTTCGATTCGCGAGCGAGTATCAAAATGCGTAGGTAATTAGTAGACAGGCACCTATGACCGTTGGCTCCGTGTCAATCATGACCAGACGGGGCTGCACACAGGGCTCCATGCCGCTGAACTCGAAGAAGGTGAGGAAGGACTCGTCGCAGGGTTTGCTCATCAGCCGGCCGTTCGAGAGGATGCCATGCTCCAGGCAGTAGAGTTCCCAGCATGCATTTGCGATCTGCACGCCCGCCTGGCCGATGTGTATCTGTATTATCTCGCCCTTGCTGCCCATCTGGTGCTGGAAGAACTACTCAGCCAGTGCTGATCCAGGCCAATCCTCGACATATGCCGCTATTGAATTTCGATCACCCTTGAGCCAGAAGTTAATTAATTTCAAATCAAATTTAACTACAAATTTTGTTATTGAATTTTGTATCTGATTTTTCACATAATTTAATTTACATTGTGATTTCAATGACAAGCTAAACAATTCATTGCTCAAGCTCTGCTTTACATACATATATTTAAATACATATGTATATGTGTATATTTATATAAGTGGCATGTGGTCAATAGTATAGACATTGTATATATATATATATTTCTTTTAATTAAGTACGCACATTACAAGTTTACATTACATTCATTATTGTCCGCGCGCGGATTAGTCAGTTTTCGAAGCGTTAAGTACATTTCCTTAATTACAGAGTATGTTTAGTGTATATAGTTAGTGAATTTCCGTGCTCGAGTGCATATCAGCTATAACGTTACTTTGGAATGTACGCGAAGGAAACTGTTGTAATTTTTAAATATTTTTATGGAATACATATAAGTACATACATATAAATATTTGCGTCTGTGCATGTGTATTTAGTGTTGTCTTAATGTGTGTATTATACAAAGCAGTTGGGAGTTTCTAGCTACGTTTTCAATGATTTACAAAAAATACCGCACAAATAAAAATATACTCAAAATTTATTGTAGCCACAAATGTGACAAGCTGCAATAACTTTCGTATTCGATCCAGCTCTTTGACTAACTAAATAAGTATAGCTCGAAATTTCTGTCGAAAATATCTTTGTTTTCCTATTCTTTCAAGCAAATGTTAATTGAGTTTTTGGTTCAAAGCTTCTCAGAATTTGATTTGGCTAAAATTTTAACATAAATATAAATAATTTCAAGAAGTGTAAAATGGATATTGATTTGGTTTAAATTAATCGAATTAGTTTTAGAAATAGGAATGGTAAAATTGCATTTAGATTTGTACTTAGGACAATAATGAAAATACTTCACTAATACAGTTGGAATTATGTTCCATATATTCTGGAATTGGAATTCTGCTCCATGCATTCTGTATATAGCATTAAAGATTTAAATTAGATTTGCGAATGAGACAATATTTTATCAACCTTCCCTTCGGTCAGACTATCCTCGTATTTTATAAAGTCTAAATATATTTCTAAATACAGGAATGGATCAATATCTAAAAACTATTGAGAGCATCATTTGATACTAACAATTCTGAAAGTGCTATTAAAGTAGAGATTAGCCTAGTTAGTTAACAGTGAGATAAAGCGATGACTGAGCTAGCTGTGAGCTATGGGAACCGAAAGCTATTTCAGGGCATCGACACTTGCGGTTGCGAGACTAGAAATAATACAATTTTGTACATTTGAGTCTGGGACAGATCAGGAAGCAGGCAATAGACAAAAATTCTGTGTCCCAGCTCAAGGCTGCAATTTTGTTCTATGGCAAGCGGGAATCAAGAGTAATTCCCTAAAGCAGCGACTGTTCCAATAAGATGCGCTCGAATCCCGGTGGAGGTCCGTGGGTGAAATTATCCAGAATAATGTCCAGAATTGCGCCGTTGCCCACTGCAAGGTAGATCAGAGAGTATATATATTAGTAAAAGCCGTGCAAAAATACAGTGAAATCTCAGTTAATGGAACACTTAAACGTATTACAATGGAAAGTCCAACTAAATGTTGCCATTTCACATATAAACAAGTAAGAACGTTGCAGTCGGGCGTTACCGACTGCGGAATACTCATTCACATCCCATCAACAATTTAGTAGTGAAGTTTCGCTCTAATACTGTAGAATATACAGGTTTTTCCGATTTGCCACGCCCCAACTGGGCGTAGACACCTCATTTTTGGTCAGTGTTTAGAAAGAGATAACGGTACCCTAACTGCAAAGTTTGAATGCTTACCCTCAAAAAATGTGAAAATTACAGGGTATTTTTCGATATGCCACGCCCCTAAAGAGGCGTAAAAATTATTTTTGGGGAATCGATAGAGGAGGCTACCAGTAACTCAACTATCCAAATTTAAAGCTAGTAGCTATTATACTTTAGGAGATATAAACTTTTGTGGTTTGCCACGCCCCCTGTGGGCGGACATATATCCGACAAAACTTTTTGGTCTTGGGTGATCAGTCCGAGTATATATACAAAATTTGAGGTCTCTGCCATCAATAGTGTCCAAAATATAGGAGAATTTAAAAAATCACTATATCTTCAGGTCAGATTTGCCACGCCCCCAATGGGCATAGACTTATAATTTTATCTTTAGACTTTATAGAGTCATACCATTAGCTGACGTGCAAAATTTCAGCATTCTAGGTTTACAACTTTAGGAGATACAGTTTTATCCGATTTGCCACGCCCCCAATGGGCGTAGATATATCCGCCATAGCTCGTGATCTTGGGTGGTCAACGCGGACCTACATACCAAATTTCAGCTTTCTAGCTTTTCAACAAACATGATTTCTGGTATATCGGAAAATGCATTTTCCGATTTGCCACGCCCCTAGTGGGCGGATCGGGAAAATTTTAACACTTTATAAATCGGAGATATACACGAGTATGTGTTCCAAATTTCAAGTCTCTAGCTTCAATAGCGCCGAAATAGATTGCGTTCATACGGACAGACGGACGGACGGACAGACGGACGGACAGCAAGACGTACATTGCACAAAACCAATATACTGATTCACTTTCGTGAATGAGTATAAAAAGATTACAGATAAACGCATTCACCATCAGATAGGCAACAGTTCATATACACAATATAGACTTCGATTATGTGAGCCAGGGTATCAATCATATTAAAGCCGATGATATAAATACAGCTGATAAGAGCTCACAGTTGAACTATGCCCGCCCACGAGTAGAATGATTTCACTGAATCATCAACAATATCGTACCATAGATGACGGGAAAGAGAGCCGGGCCGCGCACATTGATGAAGGGCACCTCCAGGTTCTTGCCATTGAAGTAGAAGTTGAGCTCGACATGGTCGAAGGCCACGCCCAGTATGTCGCCCTCATCGGGAAAGTCGCGCTGTGGTGCGCTGATCAGAGTGTCCACGGGGCTCAAGTCTGCGGGCGACTTCTGCTCCGATCCGGTGGTCATCAGCAGATCCTCCTGCAGATCCTCAATGGCAATCAGGCCAGCTGCGGCTGCTGCACTGTTGTTCAATATGCCATTGGCAGTGGTTGTGACTGGCTTTGTGGCGGATGTGGGCTGTGCGCCAGTGGCCACCACCGGACGGAACTCCTCGTCGTTGTGGCGCGTGGCATTGTCGGAGCACAGGCACCACGACTCGCGGTCTCCGCCGCCCCACTTGCGGGACAAGTCCGCTTGGCGCGTGGCCAGACCAACGGACCAGCAGCCGCTCTGCTGGATCTTCACCTCGAAGTAGGATTTGGACTGGACCAAGGGCGCTGTCGCCAGCACTCCGCCCGTGCCGGTGACTCTCAGCTGGTGCGAGAGCAGTATAACATCAGGGCCTGGAAAACACACGCGTAGGGTATTACCAGTGCATGTATACCCCGCACAACTTACCCATATGCGCCGCGTCGAGGTGCACTTCGGGCTCCCTTAATCGATGCGCGGCTGCTGTCGGTTTTCGGAGCTGCCCTCCATTGAGGCACGTGCGCAGGCAGCAAAACATGCCCAGTCGTATTTATTTGCTAAGATTTATAGTATATATTTTATATACTAGTTAATATAACTTTATGTCAGCTTAACTTTTTTCCAGCTGCAGTTTGTTTTTTCTCGCTTTGCTGCTTTTCGCTTCGTTTCTCAACAGCTGTTTAATTTGTGTGTGCCAGCCCTGGCTGACGCCATCTTGTGACGTCACCATTGCTGAAGAGCTGTCTCATTTCTTTCCAACAGATGGCGCCACCAAGCCATCTATAGTTGAAGTTTCGACTACGCGCACTCAACAGAATAAAATAATAAAAATCGTTATATATGCACAGAATTATATTTTTATACGTCCCCAAAAATTAATTTGCAAATGTACAGATATATGAGCTGTATGTCTATAAATATATTAATGCCATATTTTTCTAATAGTTAATAAAATATTACAGATTTAAGCAAACGTAAAATTAAAGCCGACTTTAAATTCAGCATTGGAATTATTGGAATTCATATAGGGAATTTACATCTGGAAGTAACGCAAAAGCTATAGCATTTTCCAATAAGGTAATTTCCTTCGCCCAACCCTGTAGATAAGGTATAAATGCTACGAAAAGTTTTGTCAAAACGAACTTTATATAGTGCAACTGATGATCATGCAGTTTCATGCTGTCCTCTGAAAGAGACCTAAGGGTTTCGTTTCTATCAAACTTTAAGAGCTAGAGTGTAGACAATATGCTACATAGGATGAATCGAGTTTATAAACTATTTAGATTTTTGGGATACGCCCACTATAAACATGTCAATTTGGGAATACAAGAATATCAATTATATATTGAATTGAGATTGAAATTATTTCTCATACAACCCCTCATTAAAATCATTTTTGATTTTTGATCGATATTCATTGTAAATCAAACACTTGACCATTAATTTCTATTGATCTCGCCCTTAGATGAAAGCAGGCAAATAAAGAACTTCGTCAGTTTTAGAAATAAGTATTCTCTGCACATCATATATCGATTGTTTTCTACTTAGTTTGCCTACATTTATCAGATCTACTTGATAATGAATTAATATTATAATAATTTGATTGCGTTTTAGCTTGGTCTCAGATAAAAACTTTTATTCCGCAATTTCAGATTTTCAGTTACACTTTTCGTAGTTGGCCACGAGCTTTCGATAGAGATCCGATACCCGGGAGCTCTTGTGACAGACGGTGCCGCCGCCGCGATGTTGCTGCGTTTCTTGCCTGTTGATGTCGCCAATGCAGATCCAGTCGCCGCCGCCGATGCGCCAGCGGTGCAGCTTGATGCCCGACTCCTCGGAGACGGCCCACTTGGAGTGGTCGCCGGTGGTCTTGAACTCCACGCGGAAGTCCGCATTGGCGATGTCCTGGACGTTGAACACCTTGTTGGCCTTGTCGCAGGAGTCGGGCAGGTTGCCAGCGCCGTCGCGCCAGGCCTCCACGAAGAGGTTGACGCCCAGGGCGGGAGCCACCAGGTCGCTGTAGAGCTCGATGTCGGCGCGCGCACTCTTGCCAAAGAGCCGGAACTGCTTGCCGCCCAGAGTGCGCAGCTCCACTTCCTTCTGGAAGGGCGCCTCGGTGCGCCATTGCCGCTTCAAGGCGCGCTCCAAGCTGGGGAACGTCTCGGCGGTCTTCAGCAGGGGATTGCGCTCGTAGTAGAAGTGCGGCTCATTGTAGACCAGCAGCTCGCCCACCTTCTCCACGCCCTCGGCATCCAGCGTCACGCAGAGCAGGCTCTGGCCGTAGTGCTCGCCCGTGGTGGGGTAGCTGTAGTCCGGCACCGTGGGGTACTTGGGCACCGAGTGCACCAGCCACATGCCAGTCGTCCCATCCGTGGCAACCACGCCCTTCGCATGGCCCCCAGTGGCGGACACCGTTCCATTGGGGTACTCGTCGTTGTAGGCTGCCAGCAGCACCCGCTGCTGGTCCGCGTAGAGCGGCTTCAGGGTCTGCGCCGGCAGCGAGTTAGCGTCGCTAATCCGCCGGCCCGACAGCTGCCAGTTGTCGTAGCTGTCGCTGGTCACATACATATACCTCAGCCCACTCACGTCCTGCCCGCTCTGCCCTCCGGCCGAGTAGTGCTTGGGCAGCTTGTACATGTACCACCTGTTGGAAATTGGAGTTAAGTGTGCATATATTATTTGGTTGGTATTTTTGTTGTCTTTGCACTTAGCACTTAAGTATTCCTGCAGATCTGATAAACATTATCAATCAAATTAATAGCTCAACCTGTAGCTGTACCATCTATATCTCTTTATATTCTAGCACAAGTGAGAAAGTTGCTGATGGACGTTATGGAATGTTATTTATGTTTAAATATATGGGTATATCCATATATTACAATATAAATATATATGCAAAGGCTAGAAATATAATTTGTGGCAAATCATTAACTTCTTAGTTAAACTTGTCGTTTCTTACCAAATTACTATAGAAGACTTACGGATTTACCATGGCTCCATTGGCTTATACCTACATTTTGGGAGTGCTTTGACTTTCGCTCTAAAACTGTGGAAATTACCACCATATCTTTGTCAATATAAGTGTGCCTTCCTTCTTACACCAAAAAGAGTATTTCCCATGTCGGGAAAACCTTATCATTTTAAGGTTACGTGGATCAAGTCTCTAGCGGATAGATGGATGGACAACAACACGGATACTGCTACAACCAATATTCCCATTTTACTTTCTTGAGAGAGTATTGAAACTGGAGCTGGGGCTGCAGAATAAGTTCTCGTCGGTCGGTTTCGCTTGGAGAACTCCTAATTGTAGTTCACAGATTTAGTGGAGCATTACGTTTTTATTTTGGTTAGGCTTGACTCGTCTTATAAAGTGTTAACAGTTTTTAGCCATGCCCACATGACAAATGGAGAGCTACAGTCTTTTTTGCAAATAAGGTGCCATTATCTGAGGCACTATTGACGCTTCAGATATTTAGTTGTTTTCAAAATAATGTATTATTCAGTCGGCAGTTTCTGTGTGAAACTTTGTGACTTGTTTTATTGTTTTGTTTGCAACGGCCCATTAAGTCGCACTTCGGAAAACTGTGTTGATTGTGCAGAGTAAATAGTAGATTGTGTCTTGCTGACGTTATGTTCGGGAACGTGACGCATCCTATGTCAGCTAAGTGGGCTATCGGTGGAACTGGAAGCGTGGTAAAAATAAACGTACATAGAATGCATCTATTCGCCATATGAATATAGGAATAAATTCAAATATCTCCTGTTTATAGTCGCTACCCTGAACCTAGACCGAATCACTCTCACAGCTTGTATCTATCATATGTATCCGACTGACAGACAGAGCAGACGCAAAAGAGACGAACAGATAGACTAACATAGATAGATCGATTCAATGTGTCTACGTTAGTGTACCAAAGATTGAAAGAACCTATCCTTTATTAAAGAACATATTCGATAGTGACTTATCGAAAATGTTGAGCTTTAGCTCTTCCGTTTCAAATTCATTTTATATTTTGGAACTATTCTATTTTAATCATACGGTTATGAACTGGATTGTCTGCGTCTCATGTTGCAAAAAGAATGAACTGATTGATTGATTGACTCATTCCGCCAATTCCATCAGTGGAGATCAGTCCATAGCCGGCAATCTGTTTTTTCACTTGTTCTTTCCATTATTTTCTTTTATATTATTATTCGTTGCTTATTCCACTCAGAGCACAGTTGAAATAGGCCTTATCCTTTACCACATGTCAGATATTCTCTTTTTATTGTTCGCTCAAACACCTACCAGTCCACATCGTGTCCCTTTTCGTCCTTGCAGGATACTTTGTTGTCGGCCAGACAGGCCTGGAGCGTGGCAGCTGCACATAGCAGCGAGCAAATCAAGCGCATTTTAGAACCGTCTCGTCGCGAAGTACGAACTCTACTGAATCAGACGAGCTGAGCGAGCTCACACATCGACTACAGGTTGACCAAAACCTCTCATATATCTGCTAACAGGGTGTTTTATTTCGGGTTGCCTGCATTCCCTTTATGCAGTATTCCTTCCGGGCAGGTAGGAGCCTTTGCGCAGGTAGCTAAGATGACCAAGACTGTCTATCGCATATGGCGGGTTTTTTCTTTTTTTTTGCCTCGCTGACCCTGTACAGCAAACACTGTTGTATGTGTGACCCGTTTAGCCGAGCTCTGTGTACTTTGCTTATCAGCAGAGCTCGCGAACTCGGGGCAAAGCCAGCATCTGTGTTAGGCTTACGGCTGTAGTTGCAAATCATTTCAAGGGGATTTCGCACTCGAGTTCCTCCTAATTCCTCCGACAGACGTCTCTGTCATCAGCGATAAGCCGAATCAGTATTTTGCACCGAGCAAAATTATAAATTAATTCTATATAGCTAAAATTAATTTGATTTAATATTGTCTTTTAAGTGCTGACGCGGACTTCAACACATGCTGATTATTCATTTCAATATCATTTATACATATATACATATATACATGCATAGGTAAGCTGGAAAGCAAGCAGAAACAGCTGCTCTCAATCCTCATCAAATGACTTACCAATGGTTTATATTCAGCTTTAATCAATAGTTAATATTCCTTGACAACGTTCATCAAGTATACGAACTAGCTAATGTATGCTCTATAAAAAAATATAAATATTAGAAGGTATTTTAGAATTTTTAAGTAATATATGTATTATGTATGTATCCCCAGTCCTAAGGCAAATTATTGACTCTAAAGAGCATATATTATATAATATCCAATCGTTAATTCAGTTTTCAAATAAAGCCTTACCTTTTATGGTATCTCATAATTGCCAATTTGATCATTATATTATAATGACTTATCTCTTATTGTAAGTTTCGATCGCAAGTTTCATCTAAAAATAAAATCCCTGTTGATTCGAAATTTATTTTTTAGCCTTGTCAAATGAAAATCTCGACAAAACGACGAAAGTCGGTGCAAGTGGGGAGTTGAAATGTATAGAATACTTTCGCATAAATGCATCTTCTTTCGAGAGTTTTGATGTAGCATTTCGAGATTTACATTTGGGAAAAAAGGAAATATTTATAGGGCTACATAAATGTATCTTTTCAAAGTACTTACACCTATAAAACAAAATGATTTTATCTGTGGTCTGCAATAAACTTAAAGATCACCCTCCTAAGCCAACAACTTTTT